AATGCATTAGTTTCCGAGTTTTTCCACATCCCACTTATTTTTTAGGATTATTCTATTTCCAATTAAATTTTAATCTCTCTTTCCATTGTCCATTACTGAATGTAATTTTTATTGCATTATCATCTGAAAAGATGCATTTACTATTCCTGCTTTTCTGCATTTGGTTGTGAGTTTTCTGTATCATAATACATGGTCAGTTTTTGTGTAGGTGCCATGACCTACTGAGAAAAGGGTATATTCTTTTCTATTCTTGTTCAGTTTTCTCCAGAGAGCTATTATATCTAACTTTTCCAGAATTTTATTCATATCCTTAACTTCTTTCTTGTTTATTTTTTTGGTTTGATTTATCTAGTTCTGAGAGGAGAAAGTTGAGGTCTCCCACTAGTATATTTTTATTATCCATTTCCTCCTTTAACTAATTTAATTTCTTCAAAAATTTAGATGGTATACCATTTGTTGCATATATATTTAGTACTGATATGACTTCATTGTCTATGGTACCTTTCAGCAAGATATAGTTTCCTTCTTTATCTCTTTTAATTAGATCTGTTTTTGCTTTTGCTTTGTTTGAAATCATGATTGCTACTCCTGCTTTCTTTGCTTCAGCTAAAGCATAATGAATTCTGCTCCAGTCTTTTATATTTACCCTGTATCTCTCTGTTTCAAATATGTTTCTTGTAAACAACATATTGTAGGATTCTGGTTTTTAATCCATTCTGCTGTCATCTTCTGTTTCATAGGTGAGTTCATCCCATTCACCTTTATAGTTATGATAACTGTGTATTTCCCTTTGTGCTATTTTATGCTTGTTTATCCCCCTCTCTCTTATCCCCCCACCTTTCCCTCTTTCCCCAGCGTCTTACTTCTGATCACTCTCTTCCCCAATATATACTCCCTTTTATCAGTCCCTCTTCCACCTTCTATTATGACTATGCTTTTTTTTTAACTTCCTTAGAGGGTAAGATCATTTTCTATATTCAACTGAGTATATATGTTATTCCCTCTTTGAATCGGTTTTGATGAGAGTAAGGTTTAAGCTTTGCCCATCACCCCTCCTCCCCATCTTTCCCTCCATTATAATATCTGCTTCACGCCTCTTTTATGTGGGATAATTTACCCCATTCAATTTCCCTCCTCCTTCTTCCAGTGCAATTTTCTTTTTTACCCCTTTATTTTTTTTTGTGGTATCATCCTATCAAAGTCATCTTATATCCACACCCTCTGTCTATATATACTCCTTATAATTGTTCTTATAGTAATAAAGTTCTTAAGAGTTACAAATATTATCTTGCCATATAGAAATATAAACAGTTTCATCTTATTGAATTTCTTATATTTTCTCTTGTTTCTTTTTTACCTTTTTATGTTTCCTTTGAGTCTTGTATTTGGAGGTCAGATTTTTTATTCAGTTCTGGTCTTTTAATTAGGAATGCATGAAAGTCCTCTATTTCATTAAATGCCCATTTTTTCTCCCAAAAGATTATATTCAGTTTTGCTGGGTAAGTGATTCTTGGTCGTAATCCTAACTCCTTTGCCTTCTATTATATCATATTCCAAGCTTTGTGATTCTTTAATGTGGAAGCTGCCAAATTCTGCATAATCCTGGCTGTAGCTCCTCTATATTTGAACTGTTTCTTTTTGGCTGCTTGCAGTACTTTTCTCCTTGAACTGTGAGCTTGGGAATTTGGCCATGATGTTTCTGGAAGTTTTCATTTTGGAATCTCTTTCAGGTGGTGATTAGTGAATTCTTTCAATCTCTATTTTGCCTTTTTGTTGTAATATATCAGGGCCGTTTGATAATTTCTTGAGAGAGATTTTCCTGGCTTTTCTTTTATCATGTCTTTCAGGTAGTACAGTAATTCTTATATTATCTCTCCTGGATCTATTTTCTAGGTCAGTTGAAATTTCAAATTTTCTTTTTTTTAAACTTTTTAATTTTTTTAATTACAGCTTGATTTCTCATAGAGTCATTAGCTTTCATTTGATCAATTCTAATTTTTGAGGAATTATTTTCTTCAGTGAGCTTTTATACTTCTTTTACATTTGACCAGTTTTATTTTTTAGGGAGTTACTTTCCTTGGTAAATTTTTGTATTTATTTTTCCATGCTATTGACTCCTTTTTTTCATGATTCTCTTGCATTACTCTCATTTCTTTTCCCAATGTTTCTTCTATGTTTCTAATTTGCTTTTAAAAATCCTTTTTAAGCTCCTCCACGAATTATTTTTGGGCCTAAGACCAAATTACATTTTCTTTGAGGTTTCACATGTAGTCATTTTGACACTATTATTCTCTTCTAAAGTTATGCTTTGGTCCTCCCTGTCACCATAATAACTTTCTATAGTCAAGTTCTTTTTTTTGTTGTTGTTCATTTTTTCTGCCTTTTTTGTGACTTGGTGTTTTCATGTGAGAATTGGACTCTGGTCCCACATTGTCCAAAGCTTTTTGTGCTTGGGCTCAGGGTCTTACAGCTGGCTTTCACTGGGCGTCAGGGCATAGCTGTTTGCTTTCACTGGAGGGTAGCAGGTTACCTTTCTAGCTTGTACTGGGGGTTGGAGCCTACCTGTTGGCCTCCCCTGGCTGTGGGGTTTAGCCACTGGCCTGCCCATGGATGGGGCCTTTCTGTTGGGTTGCTATGGAAACAGGGTCTCTCTGCTAGCAGGCCCCAGGGGTGGGGTCTTGCTGTTGGCTAGCCTTGGGGCAGGGCTTCATTTGGGGTCAATGGGATGTGTGCTGGGGGTGGGGCTGCTGGGATGAGGCCTTGTTGTGCTGACCAGACTGCTCGCCTACCCAGGGGACTGCTGATCTGGCAGGGCCTCCTCAGTGGACTGCCCCAGGCTTGGAGCCCTGCTGCAGGCCCCCTGCTGCTCCTGGACTTTGCTCCCCTCACACCCCAATGACACCAATCCTTCTTGATGTGCCAGCAAGCTTCCTCCCTGCTCCTAGATCAATTCTGAGGTGACTTTCTAATTGTTTAGAGGGGAATTTGGGAGTGCTTCAGAGGGTTCCTTCCTCACTCTGTCACCTTGGCACTAAAAGTCAGTCTTGTGTTTTTCTTGTGGAAAACATGAAGAGGTATGGGTTACATGATATATAATTAGATGGACAGAACTGGTTTAATGGCCAGGTCCAAAGAACAGTTATCAATCATTCCATAACTTGCAGGAAATCTCCAGTGTTCAAGTAATCTGTACTTAGCCTTCTGTTATTTAATATTTATTTATTTATTTATTTATCATATATTTATTTATTTATTATTTATTTATTTAATATCAATCATTTAGAAAATATCATAGATATCATTCTTTATCACATTTACAGACAAAGCAAAACTAGGAGGACAGTTAACACTATGACAGTCAGGATTTGAAAATATCTTGACAAGCTAGATCATGGTGATGAATCAAATGAGATGAAATTTTTAATAGGGATAAATATGAAGTCTTACATTTATTTTCAAGAAATTGACTTCATAAGAACAAGATGGAAATTAGTCTGGATAAGATCTGAGGGTTTTAGTGGATTGGAATGAGTCATTGTTGAGATTTGGCAGCCAAAAAACGCCTAGGTGAATTTTGGCTTGATGACCTGAGACAAAGCTTCCAGTAATAAGGAAGTGGCAGTCAAATTCTACTCTGTCCTTGTCACAAGGTATCTGGCGTACTCTATCAAGTTCTTAAACCACTGTTTAGAAAGGACATTCATCAGCTGAAGGCCACCCAGAGGAAGACTATCAGTGTGGCGTAGGGCCTCAAATCCATCACATATGAGGATCTGCTGAAGGAAATAAAGGTGAAGCAAAGGCTTGGGGGTGGGGTAGGGTGGGCCATGACAGCTGCCTTCAAGATCTTGGGGGAAGAGAGATTAGACTTGTTCTGTTTTGCCCTAGAAAGCAGAACTACCAAAAAGTGGAAAGATGGGTTGACTAAAGGGGAGGAAAATGCAAAGAGGTACAATTAAAATTGATATCAATAAGAAACTTTCTAATAATAAGCTCTCTGAAGGCTGAATGGGCTGCCCCTTTAGGTTTCCAGTGACTGCAGGTGCAGTCACTGGAACAAATACTGTACAATTCACTTGAGTGGGTTTGTGTTGGGAATTCTTTTTTGAATATGGGTTGGAGTAGATGACCTCTATGATAACCTCCAACACTGAAAATCCATGATTCTGCGAATCTGCTATATATTCATATCTCAGGACAGGTAGGATGGAAGTACAAGGACAAAGAATGTGCCAACACAATAAAATCTTTCCTATGATTTTACATTAACTATTACCTGAGCTCAGATAATGCCAGTTAAAATACACACAGTAAAATATTTTCATGCCATCTTTGTTGTCTTCACATCAAAATCTTTATCTAACATACCCTGATCATGTTACAGAGGAGTTATAGTTTTCTGAAACTTGAAATGTGAAAACATTCCTTAAAAAGTTTAAAACAATGGGAAAAGAGTATCAAAAGTTGTGGGCGAGTTGTACTAAGTAATATGAGGGTAGTAAAGAGGAGTAAATGAGATTAGTGCCAAAGAAGCATTTAGGAAATCAAGAAAAATGAATTCTATCCATACTTAGCTTATGAATACTAAAAATAAGGAAAATAGGCACGCATACACTATCTCTTCCAAATGCCATCTAAATGTGCATTTAAAAGTATTTTAGGTTGCTTGATATGTAATAATTAATCACTAAACTTAGTTAAATTATAGATGTATTATAGCATCAGTTATAATTACTAAACTTAGTTAAATGTATTGTAGAATCAATTATAATGTATTATTGAATGAACTGAGCATGTTGTAGTGAATAGAATGCTGGATTGGGAATTAGAATGACTTGGGTTCAAATCCTGACCCTGCCACTTATTAGCTGATTCCAAGCCAGCATTCTATTCACTACATCACATTCGTTGAGCAAGTGTCTCAGATCTAGAGTACGGCAGCGTTCTATCACTGAGGGGCAGTTTCTTTTGTTGATAAAAAGAGATATCACTCAACTTACCTCATCACATTTGCATCCCTTCAGCATCTCTAATGCATGATGTGAATACGCTTCTAAGTAACCATTAAAGTTCTCACTGATATTAGCCTTCACAAGTTGCTTCAATTTACATGTCACATGAACTATAAACATAACTTCCTATTAAAGAGAAAATGGAGAAGTTCTGTCATTCACCTTCAGTCCTCAGAAGTTATTAGCTCCGCTAAAGATTTTGAAGCCCAAAGCTGTAGCAATTAGTGATGGCTTTCTCCCACTTTTATTCTTTACTCCACTAAAACTTGTAACTTGTAAAACTTCCTGTTCAGTAGACAGCAGCAAGCAGTCCTTCCAAATTGATTTAATAATTACACAATACTTAAACAAATTTTTCAGTATTAAGTTTTCCTAAGTCAAAGTATTGTTGATTAATCTGAGTCATCAAATGATAGGGTTATTAATTTTTAAAACACTAGAGTCAAAAGAAGACCTTGGGAAGCAGTAACAGTATGAGATGCATTTTTCTGTTTACTGGATTGGAATTCCTCTCTTCTTACTGTCCTCCAAGTAAGTAGCTTCAGTCTTCTCCTCCCATTTCTAAGTTCCCTAAGATACAGGTAGTGATCTTCCAATAATCAAGTAATAATGCAAATCTACTGTAAATGAGATTGTTGAAAATTTTAATCAGGTACCTTTACCAAAAAAAAGATGTATATAGATGTAGATCTTACACAGGATTTATGAAGTGAACTCAGCAATGCTGATTTAAAAAAAAAAACACTTTACAAAAAATGAGTACTTAAAAAAACAGATCTTTGGAAGTTTATCACTTTTGGAAGTAATATCACTATTATACCAACTAGAGGAGATGGTGGTTTAAAGGTTAACTGATGTTAGAGAAAAGTTTTTAAAAGCAGGCATCTGAGTTGTACTCATGAAATCTGTGTGTTCATGCATAGGAAGCTATAATATTATTATTAATAACAATGATAATAATAACAACAACAAACTTGAAGGACTGCAAAACACTTTACCTATATTATCTTATTTGAACCTCACAACAACTCTGTGAGGTAGGTGCTATATTATCCCCATTTTATTGATGAGGAAACAGATTGAGAGAGGTTAAGTGACTTGTCCTGGGTCACACGGCTTGTAAGTGTAAGAGGGAGGATTTCAATCCATATTTTCCTGACTCCAAGTCCAGTAAATACTCTATCTGCCATACCATGCTGCTCTCACAAGTATTGTCCTATACAATCTAAAGTATAAGACACATGCTTCCTTGTTGGTATTTTCAAATGAAACACTGTAACTTGAGATACAGTAAAATTTCTACCCAGTCAATACAAGACTACTGATAAAGTAGAACTATAAAATAAGTCTAACCTACATTTAGACAGAATTGTAGGAATTATATGTCTAAGACGATAAATTCCATAAGGCTTACTAAACAAATTGCCTGATAAGGCTAATGTTAAAAATATAAGCTAAAGAAGAAGTCTCTAGAGGACTAAATCAGAAGGACATATAAACTCTGAAAAAAATTATTTACCTTATTATCATCACATGTATGATTTTTTAATGAACTATATTCTTTATTCGAGCAATTGCTAGCAGTATCTGTCATTTTCTCCTGTAACAAATCATTCAGAAATGGCATGGTTAACCTGGAAAATCTTTGATTTATAGCAGCTGTAAAATAACAATTTATAACTGATTTTGAAATGATAACTTTCAGGAAAACATTTAGCAAAAACCTAATATGCAGGTATATAATGAAACAATAATTTGGGTGAAACATGAGACAAGGTGCCTATCTTGGTGGTTTATCAGTGAGATAGAGATATGGAGGTTTTAAATTTTAGACTCAAGACTGAAAGAATCTTTGGTCACCACATACATCTCTGTGCCACGAACTTTCAAACTGTAATTATGGGAAAACAGAATTAGAATTAAAGGACTTCCTGCCAATGAAAGTCGTTGAGCAAGGATCTGGTGGATTACTTCTCTGGCATCTGTTTAAAAAAAGGAGCGAATTATTTGTCTGGGATGTAGGAGTATACATATGAATGATTTTGTTGTCATATCTTCACTTATAAAGGGGGTGGTTTAAAAAAAACAGGCTTAAAATGAAGAAAAGATTGGTAGGAATGTCAAATTAAGTCAACAGACATTTAAGGGCCTACTAGGACCAGGCATTGTTCTAAGTAATGGGGACACAAAGAAACACAAAAAAATAGTCTTCTGATCTCAATGAGCTCACAGCCTAATGAGGGAGGCAACATGCAAATAATTATGCACAAATAAGATACAGGTTAAATCAAAGATAATAACTAATAGCACATATCTCATGCTTTAAATTTACAAAGTGCTTTACATATATTAAGTCATTTGATCCTCACAACAATCCATTTTACAAAATAGAAAACTGAGGCTGAAAGGTTACATGGCTTGCCCACAGTTACATAGATAGTTGAATATCTAGATAGTATTTGAACTCAGGTCTTCCTGACTGCAGATTCTAGGTTCTATCTACTATGCCACCTAACCGCCCCACAGAAGGAAGGCACTGACGGTTATAGAGATAGTAGGAAGAATTTTATTTGAAGCAATGACTTATGGGGTTGTATGTTCTCTGTCCAGCAAACTGGACACATTTCCATTGTGACAGACTACTGGGCAGAGCTCCTGGGGGCTGGGCTTCTGCAGAATTCTATTCAATTTGACAAATATGATTAAGTACTTACTATGAACTAAGTATGATGTTAGATGCAAGGAATATAAAGACAAAAATGAAACATTCCCTGATCTGAAATAGCTTACTTACTCATGCACTGAAAATGAGGTTTGGCAATGTATACAACATGTACATATAAGGTAAATACGTTATCATTTGTGAAATCAGAGAACTACAAAATCTGAACACTGGAATAGGGGTCAGAGGCCTTCTTGAAAACACTTAATTGAACAGTTCCCTCAAGGGGTCATGCACCTATTGCTAAAGACTTCCAAGAAAGGAGAATTACAGAAGTAGTCTATTCCAATTCTGGATAGTTCTAATTGTTAGGAAGTTTTTTGTTACATTACTCCTGAAGGAAGCGGGAGCACAAATAATTGTCATTAAGGTTGGAGGAGAGGATAATGGAAATCTTCATGAATGAGTCTTGCCCTCTGATCATACCCTCCGTTTCTGATCCTTCACCTCTTTTTCCAATGCTTCCTTCTCTATAGCATACAAAGATGTTCAGATTTCCCTGATCCTTAGGACAAAAAATAATCCTATGTTTCTCCTCCTTTTTCACATCCAAACCCCTATAAAAAGATGCTTACACATATTATCTCTACTTCCATACCTTTTAATCATATCTTGATCCTTTCCAATCTAACTTCCAACATGAAACTGGTATTTTTGAGACTACTAGTAGCCTTTTCATAGTCTTCATCTTTCTTAATCTGAGAGACACTCTTGGCCAATCCCTCCTAGTGTATGTGTGCGGGAGAGAAAGAGACAGAGAGAGAGAGAGACAGAGAGAGACAGAGAGAGAGAAAGAGACACACAGAGAGAGAGAGAGAGAGAGAGAAGCAGTGAGGTTTCCCTTCCTGTTTTTACCATTCCTTTTCAGTTGTTTTTCTGTTGAATCCTCATCCTGCCTCCTCTGTCTGGGCATATCCTACTGGGTTCTGGGACCTATTATTTCCTCTCCTCTCCTTTCCTCTCTATACAGATCACTCCCAAATCTAGATATTCACTACTCATATCTCTCTAAGCTTCAATCCTCTATCATCAACTAGTATCTGGACAATGCCACCTGAATAATCCATATCAACCAATCAAAGTCTACACATTGAGCTCAGAGAGATGTGAGTACTGGATATCTAAATTTGGGAGTGATCTGTATAGAAATGAGGGAGAGGAGAGGAAATAATAGGTTAATAAGCACAAATATGTACAAAGTAGTTGAACACAGGCATCTCAAACACAAAATTTCTAAAAGAGATTGTGGTTTTCTCTCTGAAACTTAATCCTTTTGCAAATGTTTCTATTGGTCTACCTGTTTTCAGTATCTCCCCTTTCCAATCCACATTCCACATGGTTGATAAATTGATATTGCTAAAGGACAGGTCTGACCATGTCACTCTCCTTATCAAGAGACTTCAGTGGCCCTCTATTGCCTCTAGTATAAAATACAAATTTTTCTTTGACATTGAAAACCCTTCACAATATAACTTCAACCTATCTATCCAGATTAATTGCATATTGCTTGCTCCCATTCACATACTCTCCATCCCAGTTAAACTTACATGGCATTTCATTTCATCCTCTGCGTTTGCAAGAGAGTTTTCTCTCCTGCCTCTCATGGAATCAATAGGTTCCTTCCAAGCACAGCTTAGATTCCTTCTCCTATAGAAGGCCTTTCCTGATTCCTTCCTCTGCACACTTTCTAGTATTTTCTGACCTTACAAAATGACTCTGTATTTCCTTTTATATATTGTATATACTTATCTGAGTACAACCTGTTTTTCCTCAGTAGAATATAAACTTATTTAGGCAGATCCCATTTTGTTTTAGGCTTTGTATCCTCAGCACTGAACACAGTGCCTGGCATATAGTAGGTGTTCAATAAATGTTTGAAGAATTTTGAGTTGTAGAGATAGTGCCTGAGATTAAGAAAGATAAGCATTCTAAAAGACAAAATTGAGGATTAGCATATGCAAATATTGTAGTCCATTCTGGCTGGAGCATGAAGTGCATAGAGGGCATTCATGTGTATTTTCACATGTAATATAATTTCAACTTGTAGGTTGAAATAAGATTATGGAAGACCTTATATGCCAGTCTGAATTGTTTACATTTTATCCTAAAGATACTGTGATTCCACTAAAGATTTGTGTGTAGAGGAGTGACATGGTCAGACTTGAGCTTTAGGAAAATAATTTTGGGTGATAGATAATTTTGTGTGATGAACAGTTTAGAGAGAAGAGAGACTTGAAGCAGAGAGACTAATTAGTAGGTTGTTACATTAGTCAAAGAGATGATAAAAGCCTGCCCTAGGGCTGCTAGGTGGCGCAGTGGATAGAGCACGGGCCCTGCAGTCAGGAGAACCTGAGTTGAAATCTGGCCTCAGACACATAACACTAGCTGTGTGACCCTGGGCAAGTCACTTAACACTGAAAAAAAAAAACTTAAAAAAAAAGAGTCTGCACTAGACAGTTAGCAGTGTGAGTGGACAGTAGGGGATGGGTGTGAGAGATGTTTCAGAGTAAGAACTAATATGGTGAGGCAATATCAGATTGCAGATAGGGAAGGAAGGGAAGAATCTAATTTAACTATAAAATTATAGCCTTATATCACTGAGAGGAATATTTAGGATTGTGTTAGTCTAGATGGCCACTGAGGTCTGTCTTCTCTTTCTCTCTCTCTCTCCATAGACAAATACACACACACATTTATATATATATATATATGTATATATATATATGTATATATGTATACACACATATATATTCAGTCTTCTGTGCAGAGATAATTAAATCTATTGGAATTGATAAAATAGCTAACCAAGGGAAAGAGCCTATAAAGGTAAGGTGGTTCAAGAAAAGCCTTACAGAATCACAGACTCTAAGAGGTAAGAGGGACCTTAGCAGTCACCTAGTCCAACAAGTAGCTTAACAAGAATCTTTTGTGTAGTGTATCTGATTATAGTCATCTGGATTTTGCTTGAAGACCTCCTCCAGTGAGGTGGAATCCACTACTTGCTGAAGCAATCTATTTCACTTTTAGGTAGCTCTAATTATTAAGATCATCCTTATATCAAGCCTAACTATGCTTCTTTCAAACATCCACCCATTGCTACTAGCTCTTTTCTCTAGGGACATAGAGAATGATACCTCCCCCACCCATAATAGCTTATCATATACTTGAAGAGAGTTCTCATTTCTTTCATAAGTCTTTTCTTCTTTAGTTTCTTCAACTGACCTTCATCTTACAGGATCTTAGGACTTTTCAAAATCCTTTTCATCCTGTTGTGGACACCTTTCAGTATGAGTGACCTCCCTAAAATGTGTGGTTCAAAACTGAACAAAGCACTTCAGAAGTCATCTGCCCAGGGTAGAGTACAGTGGAACTACTATGTTCCTAATTCTGGATAGTGTAGTCCAAGATGGCATTAACCATGTTGACAGCTATGTGACACCATACATATTGAGCTTAAAATCCACCAGGAAATTGCTTGTTTAGCTACACTTCCCCTATTGTTCACTGCTGAGATTTATTTTTGAATTCCAAGGAAAACTTGTGAGCCCCCTTACCTTTTAGATACAATTTCCATTTTTGCATTCTGGTTTTCTTTAGCAAAATAATGTCAATATTGCTCTGGTTCAGTTCTTCTAACAGAATTTTCATTTGTTGATCATTGGACAAAAAGGTAGATTAACAAATAATTTGTTGTTTATAGATGACCCCTAAGCTGTGGTTTTTAGCACCCTCTGATCTTTTTTTTTTTGCCACTCTATCCTTGTTATTAGAGCAACTAACCTACTGCTGATGACCCTCTCTGAATCTAGTCTTGATTTCAGACAGTAGTCTGTTGCTGGGACCATATTCAAAGTTTTTTCACATTAGTAGAGCCTGCC